TCTCTCTCTCTCTCTCTCTCTCTCTCTCTCTCTCTCTTAGTGCCTTTCGCTAATCTATTTTTTTTCAATTTCCTTTTTGATATTTTACTATTTTGTTCCACGTTTTGCATCGTATCCTTTTTTTATTAATAATTTGTTGTATTTTTTTTAGTTCATATGTTCTCCTGACTTCCTCCCCCCCTCTCTCTCTCTCTCTCTCTTTCTCTTTGCATTTTCCTCCTTTTCTTCCTTTTTCGCTTTTCCTGTTTCATTTGGTGTCTGATATTATTCTTCTACTCTGTCTGTTATTTCTCCTCTCTCATTCTCAATTTGTGTTTCTGTCTCTTCTTGTGTGGTTTTATTCTATAAATCACTTACTCTTCCTCTCACCTTCTCAGTTTACACTCCCCCACCTCTTTTATCTGATTGCTTATTTCTTTATATTCGTCTTCTCTTCCGTTATTTCTAAAATTATCCTCCCCCCCTCTCTCTCTCTCCTCCCTCTCTCTCTTGTTAGTTTCCCTATTCTCTTTCACTCTCCTTCCTTCCCGTATTTCTTTTTTCATGATCTCATTTCTTGACGTTTTCTTCTTTCTATTTGCCTCTTTTTTTCCCTCACGTCATCTCTCCCAATTTATTATCCTCCCTTTCACTTTTTACCATCTTATTCCTCTTAACTTCTTACTACATTTTTTATCCTTCTCTTTTGCTTTCCATCCTTCATAATTTACTTCTTATTCCTACTCTCTTTCTGTGATTTGATAATCTCTCTCCCTCTGTTTCGACCACTCTCTCTCTCTCTCTCTCTCTCTCTCTCTCTCTCTCTCTCTCTCTCTCTCTCTCTCTCTCTCTCTCTCTCTCTCTCTCTCTCCTTTCTAATCCGACAATGAGCTGTCTGGGTTAAGATCGTAGGAGCTCGTTGATCCCTAAGAGAAACGTTATTAAGTCTTTCTCTTCGTTCATTCATGTGTGTGTGTGATGGTTTATCTCTCAACCCTCATGCCCATCCTTTATCCTAATTACTTCTCTTCATTTACGTCTCTTACCCTAATCTATTCTTTTCTGTCTTTTTTGTTTGTGTGTATCTGTCTGCCTGTCTGTTGGGCTATTTGTTTCTGTTCTGCTTGTCTGAATCTCTCTCTCAGTCTGTCTGTCTGTCTGTCTGTCTGTCTGTCTGTCTGTCTGTCTGTCTCTCTCTCTCTCTCTCTCTCTCTCTCTCTCTCTCTCTCTCTCTCTCTCTCTCTCTCTCCCTGTACAGTTCTTTGTCTTTGTTCTCTTTGATATTCGTAGTCAATGCGTGCTCAATTACCATAATCTTCCTCTTCATTAAGTCTCATATCCTAATCTTCTTCTCCTCCTTCTCCTCCCTAGTTTTTCTTCGTCTTTTTTAATTTTTTTTCTTCTACAGCTTCTCTTCCTCTTTATCGACTTATTATAACCCCCTTTATCTATGCCCTTACCCTAATCTCCTGATCTCATTTCTCATCTCTAATCTCACTCTTACCTTCTTAATTACCCCAATGCTTCTTTTATCTTAGTGTTATCCACCTCTTCTCTCTCCCCCTCTCCTTAATCATATTCTTCTTTCCTATCATTCTTTATTCTATTTTTCAACTTCCTAAATTCCTTCTCTCTTCCTCCTTTTTATCCTCTCCCTCCATCTCCCTCCTTCATTGGATTATTTTAACTATTTCTTTTCTTGCATTTTCATCAACTTTCCGTCTTGTTTTTGCCATTTGTATTAATTCTCCTTCTTTCCGTTATTCTCTAGTCTCCATTATCTTCTTTTTTTTTGCTATTTTCTCATTCTTGGCCAATTTTTTCCCTAATCATTTTCCTTTTCGTCTGTAGTTTTCCATCCTTGTACATCTACCTCTTGCTTTTTCCATCATGTTCCTTCTTTTTTTTCCCATTAATTTCCTTTTTTTTTCTCTTATTATTCACCCTTTTCAATCCTGACCCATGTAACATCTTCCAATATTCCTTTTCTGCTCTTTCGTTATTTTTTTTTTCAATCCTTTTCCGCCCTTTCCCATCCTTCTTCACCCTCCTCTTGTCCTGTTCTCTCCCCGCACCATCTCCCCTTCCCCTTACTTCACCCCTTTGCAGCCAATTCTTCCTCCTCCCCTCTCTCTCTCTCTTTCCCCCTCCCCACCTCTCTCCTACCTCAGCCTCCCCTCTTCGAGTTCTCAATCTTCCATCCCTCTCCATTATCCCCTTCCCTAGTACTCTCTCTCTCTCTCTCTCTCTCTCTCTCTCTCTCTCTCTCTCTCTCTCTCTCTCTCTCTCTCTCTCTCTCTCTCTCTCTCTCTCTCTCTCTCCCCTGTTCACCCCTTCACCCCCCAACCTTTCTTATCCTCCTAATTCTCCCAGTCCTCCCCCCTCTCCCCTAGTTTCTCCCCTCTCCCCTCCATCCCCTCTTCCCTATATTCTCCCTACCAACTCTACTCTCCCCATTTCTCCCTCCCCTCTCCCCAGTCATCTCCATTCTAACCAGTTCTTCCCTCTCCCTTTCATTCTCCCTTGTTATCCAATCTCCCCATCTCTCCCCTCTTCCAACCCTCTCTTCAAATCTCCCCTTACCCAAGCCCGATCATGGGAGAGAGAGAGAGAGAGACTGGACATTATCATTCACAAGGCCTTCAGTTATTACACGTTGGCTCTCTCAACTAATGTCATTCATCATTCATCACGTTTACACTTACCTAGAATTACTGGAATGTGTGTGTGTGTGGTTGTTTATTATTCAATACCTTTCAATACATGAATAAAGTGTGTGCGGGGGGATTGTGTGCGTGTGTGTGTGTGTGTGTGTGTGTGTGTACTGTAATCTCAATAATATTAGTGATGCTGTCAAATTTTACCTCAAAACGCATAAGGTGTGACACGATACTAAAAACAATGCCAAGAGAGATCCTCGGTGGCGGGAGAGAACGCGTTACCTTGTTTTTAAAGGAAACTTGTGATTATTGATCGATCGCCTAATTGAATCCAATTTATATTCCTCAGGCGCGAGGCAGGACTATCGGATCCTCTCTACCAACGGCAAACACTCGGCTCATTCTGGCTACGGGTCAAGGTCTGTATTACACACACACATACACGCATATACACGTTTATTTATGCTCATACACATGCTCCTACACACCTCCATAGACATATGCTCATTCACACACACACACACTTTCTCTATAATTACACCCGGACTGACAAAAATAAATAAAACACGTTATGCGGAATTACTCTTTACGACGGAAATATACAGTTTGTGCCATCCAAATGTGTGTGTGTGTGTGTGTGTGTGTGTGTGTGTGTGTGTGTGTGTGTGTGTGTGTGTGTGTGTGTGTGTGTGTGTGTTTGAGTTACACTAAATAGGAATATGTAATAGCAATAACTGTTATGTGTGTCTTTTCCTGGAATATTGGTAAACATAACACATATGTTTAACGAGTTACATAATAAACGTAAACTAATTTTTTTTAAGGAATAATAGTCTATTTTATGAGGTTAGAAGATGTATTAAATAAAATACAGCAAGTTGATGTACACATTAGTAAATACTCCAGGGGGATTAATGTACATACAGGGTGTTCAGGTATATTTACACACAAGGATGGAGAGACGGACAAATATACACACTCAGAAATACACACATGCACCTACACAAGCTAAAGTCGACACACACACACACACACACACACACACACATACATACACGTATTTATGATGGATCACCTATACATAGAAACAGACATGCCACAAAAACCCTAACTCAAACACAGGCACACAGAAAACCATGTTCACAGGGGCACAAACATGTATGGTCTCAAGCACTCAGATACAACGATCGTGTACACGCTAACACAACACACACACACACACACACACACACACACACACACACACACACACACACACACACACACACACACACTCACTCTAACCCAGCAAGATTCACAGGTGTACAACCGTATATTTGTTTTATTTATAAACAGATAGCGCAACAGACAAAAACACACAAATATCCACACGCGATAAACACACACACACACACACACACACACACACACACACACACACACACACACACACACACAATTAGTATAAGTATATAAGAGCATTTTCAGTACGTAAATTTATACGACAAAATATTTACATGAAAAAAAGTCAATTTGCAATAGGTTTCCCTTAAATTTATATATATATAGTTAACACATGTCTGGATTCGAAAATATAACACACACTTAGACTTGGTATCTAACATAAATTAACGTCGGACACATATCAAGAGTCTTACTCAATTAACACCATCATAAAAATCCCAGCAAGCATTAACCCTATGTTACAATCCCCAATAACCCTTTCACAGTAATTCTCCTAAATCTTTCTGCAGCGCTGCCAGCCTACAGTAACTCAAGCTAATGAAGGACTCAGCTAGTTAGGTCCTCCCTCCTACAGGTTGAGACATCCACCCCCATGACCCCTCCCCCTTTGTAGTAGGCAGCCTCTCGTCAAGTAATTTATGTGTGTTTATTTAAGGCCATACCACTAGAACAACGTCAGTACTTTGATCTACTGAGGAACCCAGCCAATACGGTTCTTTCTGCTGCAGGTTCTCATCAACAGAGCTACAGGAGATAAATTTTTGGGGAGTATATCTTCGTCAGGTGGTCTTAGTTCATGCTATACTCAAGTTCAGACCCTAAACTCCAACAGGGTCAGCACGAGACATTCACAACGCCTGACGAACGTTCTTCTTTCACTTCCACAATGAGACATAGACGTAACGCCAAGCAAATGTTCGTTCGTCTTTCTCGATACACCGGCGTTCATTTTATGGTCAGCATTACTTTAGTTATATTCTTCACTATACCCCGAAATACATTCATATCTATTTACCTCTCTTTGTAATCTTTTCCACCGACACTGAATTCACAGTCGCCTGTACACTGCCCCTTGTAGCGGGACAGCACCTCACCAACACACTGGTACTCCATCAGCCATGCACCTCTTGTACTCACCTAACCCGAAGAAACTGAGGATAGCCAGGAGGGAGAGAATCCACCTCCCTCGATTCGACACACTCATAAGAGCCATGGTGGCCCCTCCTTTTACAACACTTCTTCCCTCCTTCTAGCTGTTCTCTCCTCTATCTTCCAAAACACAGGGTATATAAGAGAGGGAGAGACTCGGTTAAAGATCACAAGAAGACGTAAGGTTGAGAGACGGCTGGAGAGCGGCTGCGTGTTCCTCGGTAGGCTGATTGCGAGCGACTGACTGGAGCGACTTCAGAGGCCACGGTTCCTGCTCACCCACCACCAACTGGCTCTCTCTAGCTGTCCCGTATGGCTCCACCGCGGCCCTGAAGTGCGCGCTTAATGCCTGCGTTACATACCACCTGTGTGTTACGTACTGTATGTGTGTGTGTGTGTCACCACCTGTGTGTTACTGTATGTGCGTCACCCCCTGTGTGTTACTTACATGTGTCACCACCTGTGTGTTACAACATGTCACCACCTGTGTGTTACTACATGTGTTACTACATGTGTATTACCACTTGTGTTTTACTTACAATATGTGTGTCACCACATGTGTGTTACTTACATGTGTATTACCACCTGTGTGTTACTACATGTCACTATCTGTGTGCTACTACATGTGTCACCACTTTTGTGTTACATGTGTCACCGCATGTGTGTTACTTACAACATGTGTGTCACCACATGTGTGTTACTTACAACATATGTGTTACTACCTGTGTATTACTTACTACATGTGTATTACCACCTGTGTGTTACTACATGTCACCACCTGTGTGTTAATTACAAAATGTGCCACCACCCGTGTGTTACAACATGTGTGTCACCACCTGTGTGTTACAACATGTGTGTTACTTACTGCATGTGTCTCACCAATTGTGTTTTACTACATATCACCACCTGTGTGCTACTTAATACATATGTGGCACCACCTGTGTGCTACTTACTACATATGTGTCACCACCTGTGTGCTACTTACTACATATGTGTCACCACCCGTGTGCTACTTACTACATATGTGTCACCACCCGTGTGCTACTTACTACATATGTGTCACCACCTGTGTGCCGCTTACTACATGTGTGCTACCACCTGTGTTTTACTAGCTTTGTGTTAAATACCAACTGTGTATTACTATCTGTGTGCTACGAGCTTTGTGTTAAATACCACCTGTGCTACGTGTCCCGGGGTACTAAGAGACCTAAATTACATTATAATGTACAATTCGTTTTTCTCATTCTGTATTTTATTGTGTATACGAGACTGAAGCGGATGTCATGTTGATGTAAGTCCAGGAATTGCTTGTAAACGTACGTACGTGTCTGTGTGTGTGTGTGTGTGTGTGTGTCATTACAGTCGAAGGCATTAAATGAAGAAAAAAATATATAAAAAATCCACTTCCTCTTATACTTATCTCCTTAACACACATATCATCATAACGAATTCCTTCACTATATTATTATAATTTACATGAACAGTTCTTAACACAATAACCCTCCATAACTACGAGATATCATAATTAATCTATTTTTTTTCCCACCAGCTTACAGTCACACACATCACGTATTGAACACATCAGCTGCACCTAGATAACTGTTGGGCGAATGGGCGTTATCATGGCTCCAATTATATACATTTCATAATATGTAAATGCGTAATGTCCTGCATTAATTCACTTTGTGATATGGAAACGTCAGAGGTTATTCTAATTAATTTGTCACTGTGAGTCTCTTGTTTCATTATTCATTAATGTGTATAATTTGTCGAATTATTGTGTTAGGTTCACTCACTGTCTGTTTGTTTGTCTGGCTGTCTGTCTATCTGTGTCTGTCTGTCTGTTACTCTATTTCCCTCTCGCTTCTCTCATTTTCTTCTCTCTTTGGTTCTTATCTTTCCACTCTTTCTCTTTTTTTTTTCATTTCACTCGCTATTATTCTCTTCATCTCTCTTTCTCATTTTCTCACTCTCTCCCCCTCTCTCTCTTTCTCTCTCTCTGGTGTATAATAGTCGCCCACTAACTATTACAGTGGTAAGTTCACCAAGTATACACGGGAAGAAACTCGTAAACTTGTGCGGTGAAGAATATTAAAAATATGTTGAGTCGTACAACTTGCTGGAAACATCTGCTGTGCACTCTATTGTTGTGTGTGTATGTGTGTGTGTGTGTGTGTGTGTGTGTGTGTGTGTGTGTGTGTGTGTGTGTGTGTGTGTGTGTGTGTGCAGTTAGGCTCGTGCATGTGTCATTCTTCATGTTGCTGTGTATGTATGTGACCAAGTTTGGCACCCTGTGTATTGGAATGTGGCATTTTTTTACCCCGTGTGATGGAGTACCATAAGTGTGCCATGGGAATTTTATGATAGGATCTGAGTGCTGATGTGTTTTTACAGCCTCTCAGTGAGTGAAGCCGCTCATACTCGTGACCTTTACTGCATCAACAACACGTTTTTGTTTTTTTTTTTTTTTGGCATCCATTTAGCATATTGTTCAAAAATAGTTTGTGTACTGCTTGAGAATTATAGCTTCTGATTTGTTTTTTGCTCTTTTTTGTAATTTAAGTCAAAAGTATAACATAAAGAAAACAATAATTTTCTGATAAATCTTTCCTTGGTATTTTTTCTTTACATTTTCATATTTTATGTCTCTTGGGGGAATTTTAGAATCTCGGGAGTCATCGATTTTTAAAATAAAGTAAAAAAACTATTATTTTTTTTTTTTTCGTGTCTGTACTGTAGTTAGAATTACCATACGAAAAAGAAAATACGTATATGCTCACATATTTTTCCTAATAAATTTACATATTTATACATTTAATATAATAAATTTTTTAATATGGTCATCATAATTTGTATACAATGCAAGTTCAAAACAAAAATACTGTATCATAACAGGAAATATTTTGGGGGACATAATTTCACTGTAGTCAAACACCAAACACACAACAGTCATCAGGCACAAATGACTGATACTGGTGAAAATGAACACCACCATGAACCTAATTACATACACTTCATAATGAATGTATGTGTGTGTGTGTGTGTGAGTGTGTGTGTGTGTGTGTGTGTGTATGTGTGTAGAATAATTTGTAATGCATAGTTTCCCTTTTAAATATAAGCACATGTTTAGTCATATGTTTCAGTTCAACTATCTCGTTTATGTTGTTTGTGTTCACCTTTAATAAGATTGTTTCGTTAATTTCTCTTCTATTTTTCCTTATCTCTCTCTCTCTCTCTCTCTCTCTCTCTCTCTCTCTCTCTCTCTCTCTCTCTCTCAAGTGAGTGTCAAAGGAAGAAACTCGTAAACTTGTGTTCTGAAAAATATAGAAAATATGTTGGGCATTACAACTTGTGGGAAACACCTGCTGTGTTCTGCTATACAGTATAAATATGTGTGTGTGTGTGTGTGTGTGTGTGTGTGTGTGTGTGTGTGTTCGGTTACGAGTATGGGTTCGGTGGAGAGTATGGGTTCGGTTACGAGTATGGGTTCGGTGGCGAGTATGGGTTCGGATGCAATTTGGCTGACGAAACACACACCCTTAAAGTTCCATGTGTGTTGAATCGCTCGGAATTAGCGAGAGATTAATCGAACATTTCACCAATTACGCAGCACGTCGCTAATTCCCGGGAAATGCTACGAGTTAATACTGGAATCAACATAGTCAGGACGGTGTTTAGGGCTTGCTTACTGTGCTGATGTGCTGAGGTTCTTTGTGAGTTGTGGAAGATTACACAGCTGACAATAATAATAATAATAATAATAATAATAATAATAATAATAATAATAATAATAATAATAATAATAATAATAATAATAATAATAATGATGATAATGATAATGATGACGATGACGATGACGACGACAACAACAACAACAACAACAACAACAACAACAACAACAACAACAACTTCCTATATATCACAACCACACACATATATGACCCACAACCATGAAGGTTTATAAAATTCTGTGAGCTATTATTACTCTATTTTTTCCCCAGCGACATTTTAGGAAGGTGACGTCCGTCCTAGTGTTTGACAAGACCATGTTTACCTCTCCCAACTGTGAGATCGAACAATGGGAGTCGAGTTTGGCTCAGCAGAGTGAACGGGATCGGGTGTTTACGGAAGGCTCAGTACACAGTATGCTAGCTACATCATCTCTGTCCTTAACGAACCGTCACGCCTATAGGACACACTTTCACCTATGTTGACTATTCACGCGATCAAATGTCCTTCGTTTAGTTGTTTGAATTAGTTTTATCGTCCACAGTTATTAAACACGGTCACTAACACGTAATATATACAACATAACTTTTGGAAATTCAGAATATGCTGCCGGCTCATTTTGTCTTTATTCTATTACACCTAACATAATAAAGTTTCCCTTTGAAAGTACCAGTAGTAACTTATATGCCTGAACAAAGTTATAGGTCACGCACAGAGATAATATAATTAACTACTTAAAGTTTTCACCTAGTTTTACAATTAATTCTCAGAACATTCCACGGTCCCAATATATATTTTTTTCTCTTGAGTGTCGTTGTATGAGGAAGTGAGAGTGAAAATGTAAATACAATTTTCATCGCTTTGTGGAGTATAAGTGATGGGAATTAAATGGTAAGGTTTTGTATGTCGTAAACGTTGGTTCATTAATGTACTGTATCATGGAATGGATCATGGTTGTCATAGGGAGAAAGTGCTATGGTTATCATGACGAGGAGATGCCCCAGTTGTCATGAGGAAGAAATGCCATAGTTGTCATGAGGAAGAAATGCCATAGTTGTCATGAGGAAGGGTAGATACTACTTAATGTCATGGGTAGAAATAACACTACATAACACGGGTCTTTCACTATCATATTTAAAAACAAACTTAATTATCTTACATACAAAAGGTTTAATTAGCTCATCAAGAGACATGTTTAAACTCTCATATCATCACTCGTTATTACAGGTAGTGTGGGAAACTAATAATACTTCGAACAAATACGTCAGGTGAAAAATAATGTGTCTTTAATGTTTTATTTTCAAGTCGCCTGTTCAGTGTAATATGATATAAGCAGAATTATAATATACCCCTGAAAAAAATATATACATTCGTTGTATAATATAAATACAGTATTGTATAGTCGGGTTTTGAGAGAGACAGAGAAAGACAAAGAGTGGGAGGGGAGATATTTTTTGCCTTTCTATTTATCTAAACATCTCTTTCTCCTTTTATAAATACCCATGTCTATTTATTTATCTATCCAATTTCTATTTATCGTTTTATTTATCTATCTAATTCATGTATCCATT